TTTATATGCAGTTGTACTTCGCAGCACTTCACTTGCAATTTGCAATTTCTAGTAATATAGTTAAAGCTTAGTAAGCTGTAGTTAGGTCTAAGTTGTCCTGGATATTAAAAGTAGATCCCTGATAAAAGATCATGAGAAATTTGTTGGCGCTTCATTTTGACTATATAATGTTGATGTGATGATGATGAAGTACTATTTCCTCAAATTTTCTCACCTCAGCCTATGGTGGGCCTGAGGTGGTTGTGAAATCACGGCTTTGCAGTATGTAAAGTAGGCCTACATACTCAAAAACAATGTCAGTAGGCTTTATTTTCTATGGTACATCACAAATATTAATAAGATCTCTATGGTTACCGAAAATCCCTGATAAAAGATCATAAGAATTTTGTTGGCGCTTCATTTTGAGTATATATAATGGTGATGTGATGATGATAAATTTTATTAAAAATGTCATTTTCTAGTCATCTAGAGGTAATATTCCCTAAAATTTTCGCACCTCAGCCCCAACCATGGTGGGTCTGAAGTGGGTCACGAGTCACGAAATGCCCCCTCCCCCAGCTCCACCTTTTAAAACAGATCGCGCCCTTCCTGGTTATGACATTAATCTCCCTCTAGTCGACACCTGACTCAGAGTATGTCTTAATGACTGCAGATGAGGCGAGAATGCATAAATGTGTTTTTAGTAGGCCTATGTGATCTGGTTTTACATGACCATTTTGGTGATTGTGATTATTTTGGATAAAGAATGTTTTGAGCAGTGGTGGATTCAAGGCGCCCCTCTCCCCTAAATTTTGTTAATGGAAAAAAAGAAAAATATAGGCTTCCCCCACCCATCCAAATTTAAGTCTGAGAGTGTAATTTCCGGCCATCGAAGTGCCCTAATCATAATTTTGTTTTTACCTCACCCCCAACCATGGTTGGGCTGAGGTGGGTGGTTCCTCAATTTGTAAAAGTTTCTCCATGGGTCACCTCTCTATTGAATTCCTGTGTCCACGACTGTTGAATTTTATATAATTATTGTTAGGCTTACTAATATTATTTATGATGCGTTTATTGCAATTTTCACTTTATTATCTCAAAACAGTCCTAAAGACCTTCAGAGCGCGCTACTTTCCAGAGGGCTTCAACCCTGCACCCCAAAGTCTACATACCTCACATAACGGCTCCCCCTTTCAAAATTCTGGCTACGTCCCTGATATGACACAAATAAAGTGAGGTTTTGCAGGTAAAAACTGAAGGCGCGTAACTTGTTTCCGGTGAGGGAGAGACCTCACCGGACGAAACAAGTTATGCGCCTGCATTCCGGTGTGGGAAAAAATATTACCCGAGGGAGACTCGTGTGTAGGCTATAATAAATCCGAAATAGTCGAAATATCTCGCGCATCCTTTTGGCCTTGGCCCTAGGCTACTGGTGGTGCTTTGGGTCAAATTCGAGTGAGAAGCAACTTGGCCTATGATGAATTACCGTAAATCATTAGCACATAAAAAATTAGACAATACCGTAGACAACTCCCTCACAATTGATGTTTTAAATTTGAATTTTTTAGGTTTTCTCTTGGTTTTTTTAACAGACGAGGCCTGCGCATAATAACACTGCCGTATAATACATTTTTCATAGATTTATTTTTGTTCAGTGATTTATATTGCTAAAATTATATATGCAAATAAATACCGTACATATATAAAGCCGAATAGGCCGTATAAATTATTCTACGCTGAAAGCAGCGAGACTGCAAATCGCCTTCAGTTTTTTAAAATGTTTTTTAACCATAACACTCGAGACCTACACAGACAGTATTTTTTAATACAGGATACCGTAATCGCGCGAATAAGCGCCTTTTTGAATAGGCGCCCCTCTCGAATAACGTGAAAATTGTCTTAAGCTCCCGTTTGAATAAGCGCCGGTGTTTATTCATTCTTTAAAACAATATATCTTGTGATTGATTTTTTAGCAAACGATAATCTAACTAGGCCTAATCCTGAGACTGTGGTTGGCATGATTTGAGCTGCGGAGTGGATTCACATTTTCTTCTTATGTCAATTTAAAAATGAGGATAATTTATCCTGGACAGATGAGAGCTCCCTGGACAGTATCTTTCCAACTTTCCTCATTTTTCTACTTCTCTTTTTCTTTTCCCGACCATTTGCACCTTTAGCACGTTTTCATGTGAGTTTGCAAGAAGCCCTGCAATGATCCTGCTAATCTCAATTTATCAGATGACAAGAACCATTCGTAATCTTCGGTTTTCGGATGTCCTTATATAATTTTTTTTCATTAAAAAATCGCCCATTGAATTTTCCAAGTTCCCAGAAGAACAACCCCCCAATTTTCATATATTTCCATGAGCGCCCCCTCAATTTCCACTCTTTTTGAATAAGCGCCCCGTTTCGAATAACCGCCCCTCAAAGAGGGTAAAACATATTTTAAGCGCCCGGGCGCTTATTCACGCGAGTACGGTAGAGAAAAAAAATTGTTAATAGTTTTCTTAGCTAATTGACAGCGAGTTTTAGTTGCATTGGCTTATTCGACTGGTTCATTTCGTTGACTACGATTTTTCGTTGAGTATTATTTTCATTAAAAATTATAATAGGCCTATTTACCCACATGAAACCAAAAAATAATAATTGTAGCCTAACAAAATTCAAAAACTGGATGAAAACATTTCTTTTTACGAAAAATCCATACGGCCATTTTGTTTTGTCGAGAAAAATTGACTAGTCTTCGTTAAAGCCCCATTCCCGGCAAAATTTCACTAAAAATGACTTTTTTTAGAAAATATGCATTTGCATTACTCCAATTATTATAAATCATGGAAAAATATTGGCATGAATTTTAGTTTTACGCAAAAGAATAAAAAAATGAGAAATACAGACTATTTCTCATAAAATATTACCATTTTCTCGACGAATTCATCGTTACTAGGCAAATTCAGAGGTTGTAGATCGCATCCACTGGAATACTCTCGCTTTTATGTATACTTTATACAGTCAATAAAGTGCGCCCTCTCTAATGAGATTACTTTTTGTACTTCGCATCTCGCACAATGCGGTCGTTCGGTTAGACT